CCGCCAGCAGCTCGGCCCCCAGCGATGCGGACATCAACGATTACAGATCCCATTTGAGTCGGCTCTTCCTACGCAACAAAATGTCTGCCCTGGATGCCCAGCTCCTGGCTTCGAAGTCGAGTCAAGCTGGGGCCAGAGGAGTCGATGATTTTGCAAGGGTTGGTTCCCGTGGAGCCGAGCCAAAGAATATGTGTCGGGACATGCTGAGGGCGTGCTTGAAAGGAACAGACATGCCCGACTTGTATTGGGCGAAAGTACCGTGCTGCAACCCCAAGACGGGCATCAAAAGAGAGGATGTGTGGATGCCATTTCTCCTTCCTCACGAGCTGCTACATCTGCTCGTGCAGAAGGCTGGGGAATCGTGGGGCGACCTCTGCTCCGTGCCTTCAGGGCTCGAAGCGCTGCGAGCCGAGGTCACGCGCGGGGCGCCGCATCTGTCGGGCGGGCACTTGATTTGCATCGGCTTCCACGGCGATGGAGTGCCCCATCAACGACGTAAAACAGTCGAGGTATATAGTTGGAATATGTTGGCTTTCCCATCGTCGGAGCGTTTTCTTTTCGCAATGGTTGAAAAAGAATTCATGTGTGGATGCGGGTGCAAGGGGCGATGCACAATAGATGGCATTCTCGACATATTTTTGTGGAGTCTCCGGTGCTTGTACATGGGCCGATTTCCTACCTCGCGGCACGACTCGTTGGAGTGGCTACCGTCAGACAAGAGCCGGGCGAAATTGAAGCATGGCAGAGATTTTGGATTCCATTCAATATTGTTGCAGATCCGAGGAGATTGGCAATTCTACAAGACGATATTTGGATTCAGCGGCTGGGCATCCAAATCAATGTGTTGGCTCTGCGGGGCCACGCAGCCAGATGGCGATAAGCCGTACAACGATTTCAGCATCCAAGCAGCGTGGAGAAAATGCAGACACAACGTGCGCGATATGCTTAGCATCCTCAGCAATTCAGGGGTCCCTTTGAGCCCCCTCTTCGGGGCGCCGTGCTTCCACGCGATCATGATAACAATTGATGTCCTACATTGCTTGGATCTGGGCGTCTCTCAAGATATACTTGGGAATTTGTTCTGGGAGGCTATCGCATCGAAAGGTTTCTTCTCAGAGACGACGCAGGAAAAACGAGTGGACCAGTTGCTCCTTCTCGTCAAGGAGCATTACAAAGAGTGCCGCACTCCTGTTCGCGTGAATGGTTTGACTCTGGAGATGATTAAAAGGCAATCAAAATCACCCAAATTTCGCGCGAAGGGGGCGGAGACTCGATACATGGTTCCATTCGGATTGTGCTTGGCAGAGAAGATGCACGAGTTCCATGGCACCGTCCATTCGCTCTCTGTGCTGGAAATGTTGAGGTGCTTGTTTCTTTTCTACACGATAATGGGCAATGATGTATACGATGCTGATCGTGCAGCAAGCTCGTGTCGAAAGTGTCTGCTGCTTTATAAATCACTCTCTTCCGAAGCCAAGAACAAAGTTTTTTGGAAGTGCAAACCAAAAATGCACATGTGGCAGGAGATGGCAGAATACATGGGGACAGTCATCGGCAACCCTCGGCTCTTCTGGGCGTACAAAGACGAAGATTTCGTCGGTTTCATCAGCGAGCTAGCCCATTCGAGAGGCGGTGGTGGCATGAGTAGCACTGTCCCTAGAGTTGCAATTACAAGGTACAGGGCCCTGGGAGGGGCCACATGATGAAAAAAAACATCATCGCATCATCATCGCCATCGTCATCATCACTATCCACCGCCTTATCTGTACATCCCAAGACACGGCAATGGACATGAGGGGGCGTGGGCGGCGACACGCAGAGCGAACTGGCTGCGACGGGCTGCGAGCTACGATCCCCCAGCCTTCAATCCCAGCGCCACTAGGCCACGAGGGGTACGGACGGCGATACCCTGCTGCAGGCCACGAGAGGGGCAGGCTTCGGGCACCAGCCACGAGCCCGCCAGACGAACGTCAAGCGCAGGTCTCCGCTTGACAGGGCAATGTGTAAGCCCATATAAAACCTTTCGGTTGCGGATACGAGTGAAGGGCGGGTTGGCCTCGATTCCGCGGCGTCTCGAAAACCGCCGCTTTCGAAGCGGCTGCAATCAAAGCAGACCGCGTTTTCGAAACTCCCGTCTCGAAATTAAGCGGCTCGATTTCGAGACGCCCTTAAATATGAGACCAAGAAAACGAGACACCTTTTTTTTTGCGAGACGCCCCAGAAAAGGAAACCATACTCAAAACATAACTGTCTTGGGCGACATCGCGGGATGAGTGATTCCGGCGACGACGCTCGCCCAATGTGACACAACATATGAGGAACAAAACGCGTCTCAAATGCAACCTCCTTGTTGCACCATACCGAGCACTCCATGCCCCTGGACCCCTTTTGCAAAGCAGGGAACAGCAGAACACGGGTGGCACTGCATATGAGGAATAAAACGCGTCTCAAATGCAACCTCATTGTTGCACCATGCCGAGGAAGCTGCATTTGAGACGCGTTTTATTCCTCATATGCAGGGCCACCCGTGTTCTGCTGCTCCCTGCATTGCAAAAAGGGGTCCAGGGGCATGGAGTGCTCGGCATGGTGCAACAAGGAGGTTGCATTTGAGACGCGTTTTACTCCTCATATGTGGTGTCACATTGCTCGCCCAAACGCTGGACTACTCATTTCTTGAGAAATGAGTAGTTGAGTCAACTACTTATTTAAATAAGTAGTTGGGCCAACGGGGAATTGAGTGAGGAGGGCGAGGAGTTGGGGCGGAGGCTGACCAGGACGAACACGAATTGGGAAAGAGGTGATGAGGAGGGCGACTGCGAAAATGGGAGGAGGAGGAGGAGGGGGAGGAGGAACGGAGGAGGAACGGGAGCGAGAGGAACTACCCATGGGTAGGTGGGCCTTGCCTGCAGGGGCCCCCCTCCGCCGAAAAAGTCAGAGGTCAAACTATGGGGTCGAAAACTTTACCTCTGACTTCCGTGCTTTTCCCCACGACGCGAGCGAAGATCAAAGCGCCCCTGAGAACCCCCCACCCCTCCGCGCGATGATGTGGGCGGCGATCAAGTGGGCGAAAACGGGTGGTATTAAGTCTGGGGGATTAATTACAGGAGCAGTCGCTCTCGCAGCAAGCCCTTGCTATTCCTCGTCCCCCAAATCGTGTGGCCATCTTCTGAGATGATTCAAAAGCCCCCATTCTGCCGCGCGCGACGGGTCGCAGGTGGGTCGCGTGACGGGTCGATGAGTTTTGTTCGTTTTTTTTTCTGTTGGGGACCCTTTGGGGGGGGAAATGTGCAGGCGGGCGGGTCCGCGGGTGGGTCGCGGGGCGATGGCGACGAACAGCAATAACAACGGTAACGATATCAGAACTTTGGGGCCGCAGAAGCCCACTGCAGGCGCGCTCATGAACCGCGTAAGACCGTTCGGCCCCCTCGCGCTGATATGCGAGGCATGGGGGCATGGCCAAGATGTGACTCGCATGCTCTACGCGTGAAGCAGCAATATCCACACCGTCGGGATGAGGAAAGAACGAGCCGAAACAGACGAGTGGATCGGAAGGCCTGGGTCTTCCTCTTCCTCTCCTGATTATATGTCGTCGTCGCTGTTGTCGTCGTCCTCCTACACCTTTCTCCGCCGTTGCCATTTTGGCCACTCTGGTAATACAAGAGAAGCCGTTCTCCTATTATTGGATGGATCTCTTGTTCTGTCAAGAAAAAACCTTCTCTTGGGTTTAGACCGTGTTGGATGCTCGGGGAATGGTTTTTGGGTGTCTCGTTTTATTGCATGCATGTTTAACCGTGGAAACGAGCCACTCTTAAACATGCGGCCAATAAAACGAGGCACCCCCGATACAGCAGAACCCTGTCTCAGTCGCGCACGCAGGGACAGTCTAAGACCGTTCGGCCCCTCACTCCAGTAAATTTAAAATCAGTCGTTATGTTGGCGGAAGTGCAAGTTTTAGCTTGCAAATGCAACTCGATCGAATTAGCCTTGCTCATGTAAGGTCAACTCTTGAGATGTCAGAAGTGCAATTTATAGAAGATCAATTTGTGGCGGACGGACAGGGTTCCCAGGCGCGCCCAAGCGCTTCCAAGCGCTCGGCCTGCGAGCCGGAGCGCCCCTGGAGCGGCCCGACGAGCATTCCGTGGGGGCCTGCACGAGCGGGGGCGCTTCCGGAGCGGCCCGACAAGCATTCCGTGCGAGCCGGCGCGAGCGGGAGCGCTTCCGCAGCGGCCCGACAAGGCGCTCCAAGGATTTGCCACATTTCTGAAATTCGGCGGCACCCCTCACGCAGATCGGCGGGGTCAGGGTCCAAAAACACATGGGATTTGAAACATTTCTGAAATTCGGTGGCACCCCTCACGCAGATCCGTCGGGTCAGGGTCCAAAAGCATAAGGGATTTGCCACATGTCTGAAATTCGGCGGCACCCCTCACGCAGATCGGCAGGGTCAGGATCGAAAAACAAGTAGGTCCCGACACTGCCTCACGGCAAAGCCAAAGCCTCATGACTTCGCTCTTCCATGGCCCATTCTCCGAGAGAGGGGGCCGGCGGCAGGGGGCGAAGCCCTTACGGATGAACCTTCGATGTTCCATCGGAGATTTACGGAAAACCGAAGGCAAACTTCGAAACAATCAAGGAACACCGAGCCCCTCCCCAACGAAAAAGGTTCCTTCTTCAGCGCCCCGACTGCATGCGCGCTGGCTGGTTTTCACGCGCCTATGCCCTAGTTCAGCGGCCGCCCCTTCGAGGGCATACGGGCTTGGCGGCTTGGCCTGTGACCCTCTGCCCTCTTCCCTCCTCCGTGGTGCGCGGCCCCTGGGGGGCCGCGGGGGGGCCAAACCCAGGCGCGCCAGACGCTGCTATCGCATCGCGCTCGGTGATCGGGGGACCCCGATTCGGCCCGCACTGCGAGATCACTCTTGCGTGTAGTCGATTCCCGTACCCATCTCGATCATGCTGGTGGGGCCCCTGCTCCTCCCAATGCTTGGGGCTCCCGACGGCGCCGCGGACCAGGCGCCACGCGCGGCAGGCGCCGGGAAGGCCAGGCAGCGCTGCGCCGCCGGCAGCGCGGCGAGGTCCACGCCGTCCGCGTGCACGCAGCTCAGCGCCACCTCCCCAGACGCGTTCTTGGCCGCGGCGCCGGGGAGCCCCCACGACCTTCCCTCGCCAGCCCCAACAGCAAAAAAGGCCCGGCGTTTTCTTTGTGGCCGTCTTAGGCCTCTGGGGGGCCCTCGCCGGGCTTCGACAGGGACCGCCCAGAAACGATCCAGGAGAAGAAACCGGACCCGGGGAAGGAGTCGATCCAGACCTCCTGGGGTCCATGCCGTGGACAGGAAGCCGGCTGTCGGATGATGGGCCTGTTTTCCACCACCACCACCACGATAAGTTGGAGGGGGGAGGGGGTCTTCCTCCCCCTCTTCTTCTTCCTCCTCCTCCTCCTCCTCCTCCTCCTCCCCCTGGCCCTCTCGGCCCTCTCGGCCCTCCGGGCCCTCCCAGCTTCCCGCCTCGCCGCGCACTCTCCGCCCCCCCCTCTCTCTCTCTCTCTCTCCTCTCTCTCTCTCTTTCTCTCTCTCTCTCTTTGCTTTTCCCGCTCGCGCCGCGCGCCCCCCGCGCCCGGGGCGCGCTCCCCGCCAGTCTCGGCCCCCGGGGCCCGCGACCGCTGGAGATAGCGATGCAGCGTGCTTCCACGGTTTCGGTGTTGGGGCCCCGCGGGCGGAGTGCTCTCTGCTCCGCGGGCGCGTCTCCAGGGGCGGTTGGAGGAGGAGGAGGAGGAGGAGGAGGAGGAGGAGGAGGAGGAGGAGGAGGGCGAGGACGAGGAGGAGGAGGAGGAGGGCTTTCTGCTTCCGCCCGGTCTTCGCGGGCGTGCCTGGCCTTTCTCCATTCGTGCAGGTGCGCAGTTGCTGCACGACGCTTCGTGCCCCACGTCGCCGCTGACAATCGGCTTCCTCTGCGTCGGCTTCCATGTGGCCGTTGCGGGCCCTGGGGAACAGCAGCACACCGTCGGATGTCTGGGCCTGGGGGCTGAAGAACCCATCGCGCAATGACCCCCCCTACAATCGAGGCCCCTCGGTGAGCGCACCCATACACCCAGAGTCGAGCAGGACAGGGCCGTTCAGCCAACGCGCAAGGACGTCTAGTAAACGTCAATGACAGGGGTCGTGGGTCGTGGTTCCTCCCTCGAGCTTTCGAGTTACCTTATATTCCCAACCCTCCTGTGTGTTGGGTCCCCGTTCTGAATTCGCAGCGCCGCACGTCTCCTTCCTTCAATATTTTATTATTTCCTTCCTTCAATCCTCCTCCTCCTTCCTCCTCTCGTCTTCCTCTTCATCCTTGGCAGCGTTAGCATCATCACCACCACCATAATCACCATAATCACCATAATCATCATCATCATCATCATCATCATCATCATCATCATCATCATCATCATCATCATCATCATCATCATCATCATCATCGTCATCGTCATCATCATCATCATCATCATCATCACCACCACCACCATCACCACCACCGCCACCACCACCACCACCGCTACCACCACCACCACCACTACCATCATCATCATCATCATCATCATCATCATCATCATCATCATCATCATCATCATCACCACCATCATCATCATCATCATCATCATCATCATCATCATCATCATCATCATCCTCATCCTCATCCTCATCCTCATCCTCATCATCATCATCATCATCAACATCAACATCAACATCAACATCATCATCGTCGTCGTCATCATCATCAGCATCATCTCATCGTCCGCATCATCATCACCATCATCATCAGCATCATCACCATTCATCATCATCAACATCATCATCATACTCATCCTCGTCGTCATCTGAATCATCATAACGTTCACGACCATCATCATCGACAACCTCATGAACTTTCGGGAAGGCACACCACCACCTTCATCACCATCACCATCAGCATCACCATCACCATCATCATCATCATCATCATCATCATCATCATCATCATCATCATCATCATCATCATCATCATCATCATCATGAGCGTCAACATCAGCATCAGCATCAGCATCAGCATCATCATCATCATCATCATCATCATCATCATCATCATCATCATCATCATCAAGCTTCCGGAATACCCCTCGCAGGCTTCGTGGCCCCCCTAGGGAGCTCCGCCGAAGGCCGCAGTGGCTGCATCCGCATGGTGACTCGCCCCATTTTGGCGCACCCTTCACACGCTTCGCGGCCCCACAGGGAGCTCCGCCGAAGGCCCCACTGGTTGCGTCCGCATGATGACTCGCCCCATTTCGGCGCACCCCTAACACGCTTCGTGGCCCCACAGGGAGCTCCACCGAAGGCAGTGGCTGCGTCCGCATGGTGGCTCGCCCCTGTTCGACACACCTCTCACGTTTCGTGGGCTCCATAGGGGATAGATTTGGCGAAAGTTCGCCGCCGATTTCGGTGGGCGGCCGGGTTCCCAGGTTCCCGGTTCTCGATTCCAGATTCCTGTTTCCAGGTTCTGGATTGATCTTGGCGTCTGTTCGCCGCCGATTTCGGTAGGCGGCCGGAATCCCGGGTTCCTGGTTGTGGGCTCTGGGTTCCTGTCTCCGGGTTCCGGATTGATCTTCCGGCTTCGGGGTTCCTGTTTCTGGGTTCCCGACTGGTCTCGGGCTCCCAATTCTAAGTTCCGAGTTCCCGTTTCCGGGTTCCGGATTGGTCTTGGTGGGCGGCTGGGTCCCCCGGTTCCTGGATCCTGGTGCCAGGGTTCGCCGTACCTCCATTTTTACCCTGGACCCCCCCTTCCCCGAAATCGGAGCCCCCGAATCTCGGGCTCCCGGGACCCTCTGGACCTCCCGGATCCGTGGCCCTGGGGGCCCCCCTGGACGCCCCTGCAGGAGGCCCCCCAGGAGTTTCAGAGCTCCTGGGAGCGCTTGCTGGGCCTAGGCAATGGGCCCAAATCGGTCAGAAGGACGGCCGAACGCCCCCCCGAGGGCCCCAAGAGGCCCCAGACACCCACCAGACGCCCGAAGACGACAGAAAGAAGAAGATCCCCAAGAGGCTTCCTAAACGCAGAGATACATTGATTTTCCAAGGTTTTTCAAAATAATGTATTTTCAAAGGTTGGTTCGTGATTTGTGGGTTGCCCTGTTCTTCGGTATTCTGGGCGTCCGAGACCGCCTGGAAGGCTTGAAAACCGTCCCAAAACATCCAAAAGGGCATCCAGGCAGCCCAAGAGAGCCCCGAGACGGCATAACAGGGTTCCAAGATGGCCTAAGAGAGCCCCATGACGGCGCAAGATGGCCCCGATACAGCCTCCGAAGCATTCCAAATCGTGACCCGGTCGTTCAAGGAGACCGCGGTTGGAGGCAGGGTGGCCCGAGGAAGCCCCCAAAGGCCCCCGGAAGACACCCAGGAGGCCTCTAGAAGGCCTCAAGAAAACCGGAACAACTTCCGCGAGGCCCCCGGGGGCCTCCGCGAAAACAGCTGAGGGGGACGGGGGGGGGAGTTCGCAGGTTTGGGCGAAAATGAGGAAAGAAACATGGAGGAAGGATAACGAATCTCATTACTATAACGGCGATGCCAGAAGATACCAGGAGTCATCGCTAAATTCAATGTTTGACCTTCCTGCCATTCCGCCTGCATATTAACTTTCAAGGGCTAAGGTGCACGGCGCGAAGCGCCAGTGCATATATATATATATGTACATATATGTATAGCGCTTTGGTTCTAGCCGAGATCACGGCAAGGCCCTGGCAGAGGTATCAAGGCAACCCTTTTCTTATGTATATATATACACATATATATATATGTATGTCCGTCCTTCTCCTCCTCCTCCTTCTCCTTCTTCTCCTCTTCCTCCTCCTCCTCCTCCTCCTCGCCTGTCTCGCCTCCGTTTCCTCAGTTCCCTTCCTTCTTCTCCACCACCTCCTCCTCCCTCATTTGCTTCTGCTCCTCCTACACGTTCTTCTCCTCCTCCTCCTCCTCTTCCCTCTCTTCCTTATCCTCCCCCTCCTCCTCCTCCTCCTCCTCCTCCTCAATGTCCTCTGTCCTTCCTCCTCCTCCCCCTCTTCTTCCCTGGCCCGGGCGCCTCCCGATCCGGGCGCCCTCCCCGGTCCGGATACCCCTGGGAACCGTAGGCCCCGCGACCCTTGAAATCGGCCCCAGGAGTCCTTCGAATCCTTCGGCCCCTGGGCGCCCCTGACCTCTAGGGTCGAAGATCCTCAATCGCGGCCCCGCGACCCATCGGCTTCCGAGACTCTTCGGCCCCACGACCCGCGGAGTAACGAGGAGGGACACACGGCAGAAGCAAGGGAGAGAGAGGGAGAAGTTGAGGGGAAGCAGGAGGAGGCGGAGGAAGAAGAGGGAGAGGAACGGGAACAGGAGGAAGAGCAGCCAGAGGAGGAGGATCAGAGGAAGGAGGAGGAGAGGGAAGGGCCGCCAAGGAGGGATCAGGCGCTGGAGCAAGGGGACGGGACTTATGTCCCCGGGAGTCTTCCTGGGAACATCATGCGCGACAGGAGGAGGAGGAGCCCGAGAAAGAAGAGGAGGGGAACGAGAAGGAGGATAATGTCGGCGAGGTGGAGAAAGGGAGGCACGCGGAATTATACCCCCGGGAAGCTTCCCGAGAACATATTTCGTGACAGCAGGAGGGGGGGCCCGAGAAGGAGGAAGAGGACAGGAACGAGGAGGAGCGCTAAAGCAGGAGGAGGAATCTCGAGAAGGAGGAGGAGGAGGAGAAGGAGGAGGAGGAGGAGGAAGAGGAGGGGGAGGAGCAGGAGGATGAGAAGGACGAGGAGGACAGACACGCAGGACAAGGTGAGCAGCAGGAAGAGGAGGAGGAGCAGGACGAGCAGGACATAAGGAGTAGGCGGAAGGGAAGGAGGGTGAGGAGGAGAAGGGGAGCGGGAGGAAGGGAGGTTCAGGGGGAGCAGGATGAGGTAGAAGAAGGACAGGGGGAGGTGCAGGAGTAGCATGAAGAGCAGCCGCACCAGGAGGAGGACATGGGAAGA